CCAGAGGCATAGTGTGCTTCACATAGTGTGAGCCCCCTTTCAGTTTTTCTAATAATTAACCTCCTGAGACACATACCAGTTCAAAGCCATATGCTTTGGGTTAAGATTAAACTAATGACAAGGGCCAAAGTCAAGGCACCAAGGGCTACCTGCCCCTGAGCAAGGAGTTGTTAGAACTGTGTTTAACATGAAAAATTACCTTCTGACTTTTTTTTCTAGTTGGGAAAGTTAGGACAATATAAAATATGTCTGGGGTTAACACAATCCAAAAATCTCTCTTGTGTTAATTGACTAGCTCCTCCAGTAATGAAATCACGTTGGCATCACAGCAAAATAAAAGATTGTTTTCTATTAACCAAGCCCCAAATGTGAGGGCATGGGAGCTCCAGCCATTCTGTCTCTGGAAAAGCCAGTAGGAAAAGAGAAGGGTGAGGAGCACCTGGCAAGACATGCAGGGGCTTGGTTCTTTCATGCTGTGCTCTGATACTCACTGAGCACCCTATGAGCTCCATGCAGTGTTAGCAGTGAACAAGACAGCAGCCCTGCCACCAGGAGCTTACCCTGTAGTGGGGGGACAGTGGAGGAAAACGAGCAAAGAAAAAGGTAAGGCCGGGTGCAGTGGCTCACGCCTGTAATCTCAGCACTTTGGGAGGCCGAGGTAGGCAGATCACCTGAGGTCAGGAGTTCGAGACCAGCCTGACCAACATGGTGAAACCCCGTCTCTACTAAAAATACAAAAATTAGCCAGCTGTGGTGGCAGGTGCCTGTAGTCCCAGCTACTGGGGAGGCTGAGGCAGGAGAATCACTTGAACCTGGGAGGCGGAGGTTGCAGTGAGCCAAGAATGTGCCATTGTATTTCAGCCTGGGTGACAGAGCAAGACTCTGGAAAGAAAAGAAAAAAGAAAAGAAAAGAAAAGAAAAGGAAAGGAAAGGAAAGGAAAGGAAAGGAAAGGAAGAAGGAAGGAAGGAAGGCAGGCAAGCAAGCAGGGAGGGAGGGAGGGACTGATCAGGTTGAGAAGCATTATCAGGAAATTAAATTTAAGGGATAGTGGGCTGTATGCGTATGACACTTTGGCAGGGGGTGGTTATTGGGGAAGGCCTCTCAAGGAGAACCTCTGAACTGAAACCCAAAGGATGAGAAGAAGCCAGCATGCTGAGATCTTGGGGAAAAGGTTCCAGCCAGAGGGAACAGTCACTGCAAAGGCTGCTCAGGCCCTAGAAAGACACAGGTGGCTGGAGTAGTGGGAACAAGTGGGAAGTGAATGGAAATGGGTCAAAGATGTTCGCTGTGAGTCTCTGCAAATTCTAGTAGGGAACAGGAAGCCACTGGAAGATTTTCAAGTGGAAAACACAATCAGATTCATTTCCAAAATCTCGTTCTGGCCATTACATGGAAAGCGGCTGTTTCATGTGTGTGTTCAAGTTCCCAGCTCAGTTTTTCTACCCGGCAGCATGTTCCTAATTCACAGGCATAAAAAGATTGAACCTCTTCTTGACTGATGCTGACTAGTAACTCACTGGCCCTTCTCCTACAATTATCTGGAAATTCTTTCAAAAATCAAGATTTAAAAATATAATTATTGGCTGGGCGTGGTGGCTCATACTTGTAATCCCAGCACTTTGGGAGGCCAAGGCGGGCAGATCACCTGAGGTTGGGAGTTCGAGACCAACCTAACCAACATGGAGAAACCCTATCTCTACTAAAAATGCAAAATTAGCCGGGCATGGTGGCGCATGCCTGTAATCCCAGCCACTCGGGAGGCTGAGGCAGGAGAATTGCTTGAACTCGGGAGGCGGGAAGTTGCGGTGAGCCGAGATTGCGCCATTGCACTCTAGCCTGGACAGCAAGAGCAAAACTCTGTCTCAAAAAAAAAAAGAACAAAAATTACTGTTAATTTTTTTAAAATTGTATTCAGCTGTGCATGGTGGCTCATGTCTATAATCCCCACACGTTGCAAGGCTGAGGTGGGAAGATTGCTTGAGCCCAGGAGTTCAAGACCAGCCTGGGCAACATAGTGAGACCCTGTCTCTACAAAAAATAAAAAATTAGCCAGGCATGGTGATATGTGCCTGTGGTCATAGCTACTTGGGAGGCTGAGGTGGGAGGATCACTTGAGCCCAGGAGGTTGAGGTTACAGTGAGCAGTGATCATGCCACAGGACTCTAGCCTGGGTGGCAGAATGAGACCCTGCCAAAAAAAGAAAGAAAAGAAAAGAAAAGCATTCCACTTAGCACTTTAATGGGTCAGAATAATTTTCTAAAAAGTATTCATTTTTAAAATATGCACCATGTACTTTCAAAAAGCATTTGAAGCCTTATGTAATAAAGCCCACAAGCAACAGAACAACTTAAAAGTTCCCTCTGGGAAGATGTTTACCATATACTGGAATACATGTTACGATATCAGTTTGGAAGAGAAATCCTAACATTAAAGAATCTCAAAAGCCTAATTTACTCTAAGGGTTGAGTTTAGCTGCACACATAGCCTCATCATGAGCTAAGTCCTCATAATGCGTTCATTTTTACCCACATCTATATTTATCTTACTCCATCCTCTCCCTGGCCCTTCAGAGAGCCACCGCTTGCCTCATTTTGCTGCTCAATGGCACCCCCATCAGAGACTGAGCAGAAAGGAAGACTGGAAAGTCTCAAAATGCTCCTGGTTTGGCAGTTCCAGTTGTGTGTGTGCATGTCTTTGTCAGATGTGTGGTGGGTATGTGTGTTGGGGGGCAGAGGGGGAGTTCCTGGGTTAAAGTATTCATTCCTCTATACTTCTACAGTGTAGAATCTACACACACATTCTCATTATCTCTCTCTCTCTCTCTTTCTCTCCTGTGTGGTCGGCAAAGCACTCAGACCCACAAGGTGTAATAGGAAAATCTTAAAATTAGATGAAGAGTCTAATTTCCATTTTTAATTTCTTCATACAGCACTCCTTTGTGCTGTACTTCTGCCAGTGAGAATCCCATTCTTTAAGCTTTTCACAAGGTGAGACGTAAAACTGTCAGACATCTCACAAGTAAAGTTCAAAACAAAAAGCAAAAAGTGCAAGAAGAACAATTGGTGGAACTTTTCATTCTTCCAGCTGGGTGGATTTTAAAAGGCCTTTTTATGATTGTCTGATTAAAGTTGATTGTCGGCTACAAACATTTTTTATTACAGCCTTTTAAAAATTTAGGAAAACAAAAGCACTCCAATCTTTTAAGTATTTAACACAAAACTATCGTTCCCATTACTTTCTCCATAGTTCTCACCACATTCACTACCTACAAGACTATTCATGGCCAGCCCTCACTAGTAGCAACATACAACAGATTTGCAGCAGATTATGAAAAATGAGTCTGGAAGAAATGCTGAGGAATTTTTGAAGGTTTTGTCGGGGTGGGGGTGGGGGCTGTGGAGAACAGGACTGCTTTCATTCTTTGCCTGGTTTTTGGCTCTTAAAGTTTGTTTCAAATTGCTATGTTGCCCCAAATTATAAATTGCTTATGTAATTTAACGTGGAAAAAGGGGTGCGTTGTTTAAGAATTTTTCATTTGAGTAAATGAGCTTTCAAAGGAAAATCTCAAAGGAAAAACTTTTAAGTAACTTACTCTTGACTATAAATTAAGCTTTCCAGGTATTCCTAAAAAACATCTTTGACTATAATAGGTGAAGGCTAGTCAAGTGCATTCACGACCAAAAGAGATAAAATCTGCATTCTGAATGGAAATAGAAATCTTTTAGCTAAGAAAAAATACTTGGAATGTGTTTATTTAGCATTTTCCCCCTTTCTTTCTCTTTCGGGTAAAGCCTGGTAAGTTTATTCCAGCTTCCTCAAGAAGTGCATCAGCGATCAAACTTGAAATCTGTTCATCACTCACTCCCCAAATAAGCTGTTCATGCAGAATGAAACCGGCCTTCCTTGCCTCCACTTATCAATCCAGCATCTTGTATTAAAATGCCTGGAACAAGCCGGGCGCGGTGGCTCAGGACTGTAATCCCAGAACTTTGGGAGGCTGAGGCGGGCAGATCACGAGGTCACGAGGTCATGAGATCGAGACCATCCTGGCCAACATGGTGAAACCCGGTCTCTACCAAAAATACAAAAATTAGCCGGGCGTGGTAGCGTGCGTCTGTAGTCCCAGCTACTCGGGAGGCTGAGGCAGGAGAATCGCTTGAACCCGGGAGGCGGAGATTGCAGTGAGCCGAGATCGCGCCACTGCACTCCAGCCTGGCGACAGAGCGAGACTCGGTCTCAGAAAAAAAAAAAAAAAAAAAAAAAAAAGCCTGTAACAACACTTGGCTGCGTCCAGATAAACGTAAACGCTGTCGAACACCGTAAGTTCTGTTCTGCCGTAACAGGAGTGAAAAGAACGCTCCCCTTTTCCAGGTCCCCACACTCTCTGGGTGCCTCTACAAAGGGATGCTAATAACATCCGTAAGGGCCCGGTGGGAGCAGCCAGGACTGCCGTCCCTCCCTGGCCGGACGCTCGGCCTCAGTCTATCGCGGCTCCCGGACTGCAGCTCTGACTTCCGCAGCCCGTTCGTTCGCCCCACGCCGGTCCCTCGGGAGACCGGATCTGTGGCCCCCGGAACTCCCGCCAGAGTAGGGCTCCACCATGCAACTCTGTCTAGTGGAAAGTTCTCGTCGCATTCCAGACCAGACCTGCTACCTATGTTCCACTCGTAGGAACTTTGGGACTTGCAGCGCGCCCAGCGGAGCTCGATTTCCTCCTCGGAGGTGAAGAGGGAAGGCTGCAGCCCCGACCCCGACCCGGCTTCACCACGACGCGCACCCACAAGCCGGGCTGGGTGCCCTCGGGACGCTTGAGGGGCCGCGGTCAGTGGACGGAAGGCTCGCCTGCGCCCCCTTCTCCGGCACCGCAGTGGGTGGAGGGTGTTTGCAAACTTGTCCAGCAGCCAGGCGCGCCCCTGTGGACGCGCTCACTCCCCTGAGCCCCCTGCTTCGTCCTGGGAGCCCCCACCCCCTCGCCTGGCCCCCAGCCGGGCGCACTCACCTCTACTCCAGAACGCGGGGAGGAAGAGGCCCAGCAGCAGCGGCAGCGGCAGCGGGGCCGGCCCCATCCCGGGGCTGCGGATCTGTAATTTCTCTCCGGACGGACGGACAGATGGACGTCCCGAACCTGCCCTGTCGCCGGCTAAGCGCGCCAGCGAAGCTCCCTGTCCAGGCGGCCCCGGCAGCGAGTGCAGAGTGGTGGAGCCCAGCGGCCGGCGGGTGGTGCCGAGGGCTGGAAGGGGCGGGCCGGGGGCCGAGCCGAGGCCGACCAGGGCTAGAGGAGAGGGGCGGGCAGGGGGGCGAGTCCCGGCGGGTCCCGCAGGTTGGAGTGGGAGGGGGTGGGAGGACGAGGGGGAGGAGGGGCGTAAAGGGGAAAGGGAGGGGGTTGGAGAGGAGGGGCGGGCCGAAGGCCACCGTGGGGCGCACGGCGGGGAGCTGGGAGGAGAGGAAGGGGAGGGGGCTGAGAGACCAGGAGGGAGCTGGAGAGAGAAGTGAAGGGGAAGGGCGGGCTGGAGGTCCAGAGGAGACGGCTCTGGCCGCTGCGCGGGTCTGGAGCCCCACACCTGTGGGTGGGAGATAGGGAAGGACAGAAGGTGGGAGAGGAGTGGAGGATGCCCGAGGCAGCCCCCAGACCCAAGAGGAGGGTCCAGAGGCGCCCCCGCATTCCAGGCTTGGCTGACACAGAAAACCCTGGCAGCGCCGCTCCCAGAGGCCAAGGCCACGGCGGCAGCGCTCCCTGCCGAGCGCTCCTCCACATCCATTCCGCTCCCGTCGAGCGCCTCCTGGGTACCTGGCCCGAGGTGCGCTACACTGCCCTGGCGTCGAGGAGCTCACCGCCCCTGGGGGAGGGGTTCCTGGGGAAGGACGCTTTGCTGTGGCTTCTTGACGAGCCAGAGAGAGGTGACACTCAAGGAGGGAGATGAAAGTGAATGACAAAGTGCAGAGCAGGAGTTGGGAGAGGGGAAACCACAGCACGTTACTCTCATGGACCTCCACAAGGTGTGCAGGGTCCAAGAGGCAGTAGCAGAGAATGAATCGTAAGAGAAATGTAACTACTTATACTAATAATGGCAACAGTAACTTAATTTATATACATAGTTTCTTAAAGGTAACACTTTTAGAATGAATGTATTTTAAGGTGGTCCCTTTAACAATGTAACATGAGCCAAATCATGTCCCTCTGCTCAAATCTCCCCAAACCTATCAGTGGTTCCTGCTGTCTCTCCGCATAAGCCAAGGTTCTGCAGTGACCTCCGAGGTTCTGTGTGACCTGGTCCCCTTTCCTCTTTGGCCTCACCTCCTTACGCCTCTTCCATTTACTTTGGTCTCTTGTCAAGCAGTCCCTTGACCCTACACTGGCTAGACACTTCCCGTAGATTTGGCTACGGGAAGGAGACAAGCAGCCCAGATGGATTTAGACAGGTTATTACTTACACCGACAGCAAAAGCAAAATCAGTGTGGTGTCAGCTCCATGCATCCTTAGGCCCACAGGATAACACCAAACTGGAAGGGCGATTGTTATCCTATGGGTCTACATGATTTAAAAAAAAAAAAAAAGAAGAAGAAGACAACATGAGCCCTGCGCCTGAGTAGCCAAGTCTAAACTACACCAAGCAGTTTTATAGACTTCACAGGAGCCTGCTGCTGTATGCTTGGAGGGAAGGGGGCTGGGAGGTGGAGGGAGGGATATGGAAAGTCCTGCAGTCAACTGAAACATTGGAGAAGGAAGAGAAATGGCCTTGCAGCAGTCTCCCGCAAGGTAGGGATAGGAAACTGCCTCCCAGTGGCTCCTCACCAGGCTTACCTATCCCTGCTTTAGGAGAAATCGCAGGGCAGTCCCACAAGACTTGGCTCAGACCATGATCATACCTTGCCTACATGGCCTCTAGAGATGTGCAAGATTGCCAGGGGCACCTCAGCAGAGCTGTTCTCCTGCAATTTCCTTGCTATTGCTCACATATACCAAGCACTCCTCCACCGAAAGGTTTTGCACTGGCTGTTCCCTCTGCCTGAAATGCTCTTCCCCCAGACACACAGCTTCCCAGTTGACTCTCCTCCAAGTCAGCTCAAATCTCACTTTCTTGTTGAGGCCTGCCTTGTACAATATTCTTCAGCTATCTACCGGTGTTTGACATACCACCCCAAACATAGTGGGTGTAAAATGTCAGCCATTTTATTAGATTCCTGGATTCTGTGGATCGGAGGTTTGGACAGAGCACAGGGGAAATAGCTTGTCTTTGCTCCTCCATATCTGCCTGGGACCTTAGGCTCAAATAGTGGGGATTAGAATCATGTAAAGCAAATTATAGCCTGCGGACCTATGGCTTCTTTTTGCAAACAAATGTTATCAGAACACAGTCATTCATGTTGGTCATTGTGACAGAGATTATGTGGCCCACAAAGCTGTGCAGTATGGCCCTTTAGATAAAAAGTTGGCTAACCCCGATCTCAAGGCTCGTTCACTCACATAGCTGCCATCTGCACTGGGATGACTTGGGCACTAGGGCTGCAGACTAACTGGAGCACCTAAAGGAGGCTTCTCCATGGTGGCCTTGGAGTAGCTGGAAGTCTTGCATGGCAGCTCAGGGCTCCAAGAGCAAGCATTCCAGTAAACAAAGAGGAAGCTTCATGGCCTTTTATGTCCTAGCCTCCGAGGTCACATAACTCCACCCTACTCTCTTGATGGAAGCAGTCACAACCCCAGCCTCATGGGGAGCAGCCGTAGAGGTTCAAGCCCAACCTCTTGAAGAAGAAGCGTCAAAGAAGTTGCAGTTATGCTTTTAAAAATCCACAAATGCCAAAACTTAGCTAAACTGTGGGATGTCTGCTCTGCAATGTTAATTTTGTACTTGGTGTGCATCCAAATGATACTGCAATTTAATGTCCTAATTATTCAAGTGATCAGACTATGTGTAGGGAAATATGAGCAACAGACAAACAAACAAAAAACAACCCGGACCCCATATTACTTAACTATTTCCAAGGCTGTTGTGCAACTTCAACAAGAAGACACTTACCTGGAACCCATTCTCCAATGCCCACTGTGTCTCCTGTGTCAGCTAAGGCTCTGTGTCACAAGTAGGAGCCCCTACTGTTTAATACCTAGGAAAAAGAGAGAATGTTAAACGCCTGCAGCAGTGTTCATCCAAGGGCTAGGAAAGATTACCCCCACTGATTCAAGTGTGAAAGAGCTGTAGCCAAGGTAAAGTGGCATTGTGGTCACAATCTATGTGTTAAACATGTTCAACATATCAGTGACAGGACTTGAGGCTTCCAATTGAAGGTTTCATAGGGGCGTGCCAGGCCACACACAAATGAAATGTGTGAAGATGTAGTCCTCAATGACCCTATTTCTTTTTTTTTTTTTTTTTTTTTTTTTTTTTTTTGAGACGGAGTCTCGCTCTGTCGCCCAGCCCAGGCTGGAGTGCAGTGGCGCGATCTCGGCTCACTGCAAGCTCCGCCTCCTGGGTTCACGCCATTCTCCTGCCTCAGCCTCCCGAGTAGCTGGGACTACAGGCGCCCACAACCGCGCCCGGCTAATTTTTTGTATTTTTTTAGTAGAGACGGGGTTTCACCGTGGTCTCAATCTCCTGACCTTGTGATCCGCCCGCCTCGGCCTCCCAAAGTGCTGGGATTACAGGCGTGAGCCACCGCCCCCGGCCCAATGACCCTATTTCTAAACCCACACCTTGCTTCTCTTTGCCCTCTTACCTCTGTCCCCTACCCCTTTCAGCTCTGTCTACAGCTATACCTGTAATTTATTTCCCCCTCCTGCCTCTAGTCTACCATGTAAACCCCCCAGTTCACCTCCCTCAGAAAGCGTCTATCCCATCAGCGGGGTACAGTGGCTAACACCTGTAATCTCAACACTTTGGGAGGCTGAGGTGGGCAGATTACTTGAGGTCAGGAGTTCGAGACCAGCCTGGTCAACATGGTGAAACACTGTCTCTACTAAAAATACAAAAATTAGCTGGGTGTGGTGGCACATGCCTGTAATCCCAGCTGAGGCAGGAGAATTGTTTGAACCTGAGAGGCAGAGGTTGCAGTGAGCTAAGATAGTGCCACTGCACTCCAGCCTGGGCAACAGGTTCAAAAAAAAAAGCGAGCTTCAGACCACTTTGGCACTTCGGATCACTTTGGCACTCACTCACCCAGCACTTAGCATCCATACCAGAATACTCTAGTAACAGCACCCTGGTTTTCCTTCGGTGAACCATGCTTCCCACACTCATCTCCCTGTCCCTGGGTCTGGATGTGAGATTCTCTTTGCTGTCTTAAGACCATTATCTGTCCCTTCTCTCTAAAGTCTCTGGCTTTGACTCTGATGTCATCAGACTAGACCAGCCCTGCTTGCTGCAGCCTTGCAGCCTGAGTCTCTCCTAATTCTCTGAAGATGCAGTGCCTGCATCACAGTCACTCCCTTTACACTATCCCTGCCATAACTTTTGGTAGTTTTAGTACCTTATAAATAATATTTCAACACCACAGCTTCTAAACCCCTTGACCTCTTGTCCTCCATTCAGTATTCTGAGCAATATATTAGAAATGTAAGTACCAAGTTCTTAAAACTTGCTGGATAACTGGAATGGTGCCCATAAGAAAGTCAACTCATAATGCCGAAAATCTTGAGGGAAGTACAAGCATCTTGTAGTTTCTTGGATAACACAGATAGTGCGTGGAAGAGACCCTGTTCAGTGTGCTGAACAACATAATGGGAGTATAGGTTTATGGCCTTTGGGGGCATATATTTTAGGTAACGTAAAACATTTGAAATATTGAATCAAACACACATATACAAGTGCAGTTGTATAATTTTTTTTTTTTTTTTGAGACGGATTCTCGCTCTGTCGCCCAGACTGGAGTGCAATGGCGCAATCTCGGCTCACTGCAAGCTCCGCCTCCCGGGTTCATGCCATTCTTTTGCCTCAGCCTCCCGAATAGCTGGGACTACAGGCACCTGCCACCATGCCCGGCTAATTTTTTATGTTTTTAGTACAGACGGGGTTTCACTGTGTTAGCCAGGATGGTCTTGATCTCCTGACCTTGTGATCCGCCCGCCTCGGCCTCCCAAAGTGCTGGGATTACAGGTGTGAGCCACCGCGCCCAGCTTTTTTTTTTTTTTTGAGACCAAGTCTCTCTCTGTCACCAGGCTGGAGTGCAGTGGCATGATCTCAGCTCACTGCAACCTCCGCCTCCCGGGTTCAAGTGATTCTCCTGCCTCAGCCTCCTGAGTAGCTGGGACTATAGGCGTGTGCCACCATACCTAGCTAATTTTTGTATTTTTAGTAGAGACGTGGTTTCACCATGTTGGCCAGGATGGTCTCCATCTCTTGACTTCGTGATCCACCCACCTCAGCATCCTAAAGTCCTGGGATTACAGGCGTGAGCCACCGTGCCCGGCCAGCTGTGTAATCATTAAGTGGAAGTTAAACTGGGTTTCACTGCTAAAAAATTACTGAACAGATCCAACATCTAGAGTTTGTTACAGCAAGAGGACACAATATAGCAAAAAGCAGTAAAGTAAGAATAAGCATCTCAGTCAAAGGCTATTCATGGCCAGATAGGCCAGGTGCCAGCTCCTTTGTCCTAGTTTCTGTAAGGAACATGGCAGGATGCACTTCCTCTGTTGGATCAAAAACCATTGATGTGTGCATGGAATACCTCGGAAACAGGGGCGTCCAAAATGGAGGCTCAGTTGGGGATTTTTATATTTTGCTGGTCATAGACATAGTCTTAAGGCATAACCAGCCTCAACAGCAGAACCGTGTGGCAGGGGATGGAGGGGTCTCACTGAGACCAGGTGCAAATCATTTATGTCATTGTTTTCAAAAAGCAAAGTTGATGCTAGTACAAGTTTCCCTGTAGCTCCTCAGACTGATGGATAAAAAGCAACATTATTAATCCGTATGCTTCATGCCCTTGGCCAGGGGTCATTGCCACGCAGGAATTTCAGAACAGTTCAAGCTAATTTCAGGCCTGCTGGAATTAACCCTCACAGTACAATAGCTTTTATAGTTGTTGCAAAGCGAAATGGTAGAAGTAAAATACGCCATTTAGCACAGTGAACACGATAGTGGATGAAGCATTTCCTTTTTTTTTTTTTTTTTTTTTTTTTTTTTGAGACGGAGTCTCGCTCTGTCGCCCAGGCTGGACTGCAGTGGTGCAATCTCGGCTCACTGCAAGCTCCGCCTCCCGGGTTCACGCCATTCTCCTGCCTCAGCCTCCCGAGTAGCTGGGACTACAGGCGCCGGCCACTGCGCCCGGCTAATTTTTTCTATTTTTAGTGGAGACAGGGTTTCACCATGGTCTCGATCTCCTGACCTTGTGATCCGCCCGCCTCGGCCTTCCAAAGTGCTGGGATTACAGGCGTGAGCCACCGCGCCCGGCCGAAGCATTTCCTTTAGTGGTTTCTTGGAGTGTCTTTCAAGATCATCCATCCAATAGGCTGAAAAACTCACTGGAAGTAAAATCTCACTCTCATCCCATTGGAAATGGGGCAGCACCATTTAAAGATGCTCCTCATTGTGTTGAACAAGGTACAGAAGGCCAATTGTTGAGCTTTTATAATTAGTGGGTAACCCACTTAGCGTCCTGGAAGAGGCATGAGAAGCGTATTTAAGTGTTACAGTTTGTTAGAAAGATGAGCTAGGGTCAGGTGCGGTGGCTCACGCCTGTAATCCCAGCAGTTTGGGAGGCCAAGGCAGGCAGATCACGAGGTCAGGAGATGGAGACCATCCTAGCTAACACAGTGAAACCCCATCTCCACTAAAAATACCAAAAAAATTAGCCAGACCTGGTGGCACATGCCTGTATTCCCAGCTATTCAAGAAGCTGAGACAGGAGACTCGCTGGAACCTGGGAAGCGAAGGTTTCAGTGAGCTGAGATCACGCCACTGCACTCCAGCCTGGGCAACAGAGCGAGACTCCGTCTCAAAAAAAAAAAAAAAAAAAAAAAAAAAAGAAAGAAAAAGAAAAAAAGAAAAGAAAAATGAGCTAGTGGGCTAGGCATGGTGACTAATGCCTGTAATCCCAGCACTTTGGGAGGCCGAGGAGGGCTGATCACCTGAGCTCAGGAGTTAGAGACCGGCCTACCTAACATGGTGAAATCCTGTCTCTACCAAAAAAAAATAACAAAAATTAGCTGGGCGTGGTGATGCGTGCCTGTAGTTCCAGCTACTCAGGAGACTGAGGCAGGAGAATCACTTGAACCCGGGAGGTGAGGTTGCAGTGGGCTGAGATGGCGCCACTGCACTCCATCCTGGACCACAGAGCGAGACTGTATCTCAAACAAAAAAAAAAAAAAAGAAAAGAAAAGAAAAAATGAGATAGTGTATTTTCTCTGTGCTGAAAAGTACAATGGAAGTTGCCTTGTCTGGCACTTGTATCTGTTACAGAATTAGGAGTTCTGTTATGATACTTCCTTTAACATGCTCAATCACATACTAGGAGGCCGAGAACCCAGTTTTTTAAATTGTTGGGGTGTAATGATGGAGAAACTAGGACATTTCATTCTGTGTGCTGAACAACAGACTGGAAATACTAGTATGCAGCTTATGTAATTTGTTGGGGGGAGGTTGGGGAGGCAAAGTCAGGTTCTGTGTTTAAAAGGCTCAAATCACCACAGTCAACTGCATATGGGAAGCACAATTATTAGAGCATGTAGGGGTTGCATTGCGAGAGGTGAACAATAAAGTGGAAGGATCTGTGTCTAGCCCTTATAACTTTTGGAAACTTAAGATAGTATAGGTATGAAACTCCTTTTGCTATGCTGAACAATATCTATGATATGCAAATATCTAAACATTAGGGTTTACTAGGGCGCTGAAATGATGCTTAGAGGGGTCTCAAGTCAGCATAAAACCATACTGGAAATACAAAGTCTAGCACTTGAAGATTGGGGGAAGTGAGATGGTGGATGTAGCCGGGCACGGTGGCTCATGCCTATAATCCCAGCACTATGGGAGGCTGAGGCAGGCAGATGGCTTAAGCCCAGGAATTCGACACCAACCCAGCAACATGGTGAAACTCTGTCTCTACAAAAAATATAAAAATTAGCCAGGCATGGTGGTGCATACCTGTGGTCCCAGCTACTCAGGAGGCTGAGGTGGGAGGATCGCTTGAGCCCAGAAGTCGAGGTTGCAGTGAGCCAAGATTGTGCCACTGTACTCCAGCCTGGGCAATAAAGCGAGACTCTGTCCTTAAAAAAAAAAAAAAAACAAAAAGAGAGAGAGAGAGAGAGATGGCTGCTGAGACGAGCTCGGTTGTGGAGACCCCAACTCAGCTGGGCTAGAGGAATTAGAGACACACACACAGAAATATAGGTTGTGGAGTGGGAAATCAGGGGTCTCACAGCCTTCAGAGTTGAGAGCCCTGAACAGTTTGACCCACATATTTACATATAGATTATAGATTAACTAAAAGTATTCCTTACGGGAAACAAAGGGATGGGTCAAAATAAAGGGATGGGTCTGGCTAGTTATCTGCAGCTTGAACATGTGCTTAAGGAACAGATCGCTCATGCTATTGTTTGTGGTTTCAGTAGGTGATTTTCCGCCCTGGGTGGGCCAAGTGTTCCTTGCCCTCATTCCAGTAAAATGACAACCTTCCAGCGTGGGTGTCAAGGCCATCACAAGCATGTCACAGTGTTTACGGCCAGTTTTGGGGCCAATTTATGGCCAGATTTGGGGGCCCGCTCCCAACAGACGGCAGATGTAGAAGACTCCATTCAGCATGCTGAAGAACATACCAGAAGCACAGAGGTCTAGGTTTTGTAGTTTATTGGGAAACTGCACTTATAATTTATTGGGAAACCACATAATGCTTGTAAGCAACTCCATTTAGCTTCTTGAGCAAAATACAGTAGTCTAAGTGCTTTGTCTTTGTAGTTTTAGAGGAATTGAGATGGCGCATACAAAAGGATTCCATTCTACTTGCCGAAACCATCCTGAAAATAAGTTTCTTCTTCTTGTAGTTTGTTGGAGGAATGGAGATGGTACATATAAGAGATTCCATTTGCTGCACAACACGCTGAAATTAGAGGTCTGGCTCTTGTAGTTTCCTGGGAAGGGCTGGTGATTTAGTGATCTGTCAGGTAGCAGACAACAGGAAATCAACTGATTTCATATATATGTACATATTTTTCTTTTTCTTTTTCTTTTTTTTTTTTGAGACAGAGTCTTGCTCTGCCCAGGCTGGAGTGCAGTGGCACAATCTCAGCTCACTGCAACCTCTGCCACCTCGGTTCAAGCGATACTCCTGCCTCAGTCCCCGAGCAGCTGGGACTACAGGCACAAGCCACCATGTCCGGCTAATTTTTGTAGTTTTAACAGAGACGGGGTTTCACCATGTTGGCCAGGCTGGTCTCAAACTCCTAACCTCAGGTGATCTGCCCACCTTGGCCTCCCAAAGTGCTGGGATTACAGCCCGTCAGCCAGCGCACTGAGCTCAATAATGATTTCTTTTTTCTTTTTTTTGAGATGGAGTCTCACTCTGCCACCCAGGCTGGAGTGCAGTGGCATGATCTTGGTTCACTGCAACTTCTGCCTCCTGGGTTCAAGCGATTCTCCTGCCTCAGTTCCTCAAGTAGCTGGATTACAGGCGTTCACCACCATGCCCGGCTAATTTTTTTTGTATTTTTTAGTAGAGACGTGGTTTCACCATGTTGGCTAGGCTGGTCTCGAACTTCTGACCTCAAGTGATCCGCCCGGCTTGGCCTCCCAAAGTGCTGGGATTACAGATGTGAACCACCGCACCCAGTCCAATAATAATTTTTGATTGTCTGTCTTGGGGCCTCTATGATCTCTTGGCATTCTTTATGGTATTTTTATTTGCTTGCCACTAGGAGCACAATTGTGTCAAAGAAAGAAAGAAGAAAAGGAAGCCAGGAAGGAAGGGAGGAAGGGGAAAAAATTAAAAAAAAAAATGTGGGTGCGTGTGTGTGTGTGCATGATGGAGCTGCTGTTAGACTGGTGAGTTTCTGAGTTCTGAATTTCCTTTGGACCTGTGCCTGAAGTTGTAGAACCTAAGCTTGTGGTTCTTTTTGTATGCAAAAATTAAAAATAAAAAGCCTTTTCCCTTCCTCACAAAAACAAGGTATAGTAATTAATCTTTTATAATAGCTTGTTTGTAACTCTTTCTGTTTCTCAACTTTGGGGATAGATGATAGGTCACAAACTTTTTTTATTATATGTGCCATCTAACGGTATCTAGTGTAGACACACAGATTTTATTATTTTTTTGCGATGAAGTCTTACTCTTGTCCCCCAGGCTGGAGTGCAAGGGCGCCGTCTTGGCTCACTGTAATCTCTGCCTCCCAGGTTCAAGCGATTCTCCTGCCTCAGCCTCCTGAGTAGCTGGGATTACAGGCGCCTGCCACCATGCCCAGCTAATTTTTTTTTTTTTTTTGTATTTTTAGTAGAGACGGGGTTTCACCATGTTGGCCAGGCTTGTCTCGAACTCCTGACCTCAGGTGATCCACACGCCTCAGCCTCCCAAAGTGCTAGGATTACAGGCGTGAGCCACCGTGCCCAGCCAGGACACACAGATCTTTCTAATTCCTTTGATAAGGGGGGACAAATGTGTGCAAAGATTGAAGGAAATACTTTTAGCTGGTTTTATATATCGTGGAGAACAAAGATAAGACATTTTTAAGAGAGTTTTATTTGGTTTGGGTGACAACTGAATGTGAGTGAAGGAGCCAGAACACCCAAATGAAAGAGCAGGTAATGATTGCTTCTGACTGCTTCCGGGTCTCAGGACTTTTTTTTTTTTTCTGAGACAGAGTCTCGCTCTGTCGCCCAGACTGGAGTGCAGTGGTGCGATCTCACTGCAAGCTCCGCCTCCCAGGTTCACACCATTCTCTTGCCTTGGCCTCCCGAGGCTGGGACTACAGGCGCCCACCACCTCACCCGGCTAATTTTTTGTATTTTAATTAGAGATGAGGTTTCACCATGTTAGCCAGGATGGTCTCGATCTCCTGACCTCGTCATCCGCCCACCTCGGCCTCCCAAAGTGCTGGGATTACAGGTATGAGCCACCGCGCCCGACCCCCTGCCCTTTTTTTTTTTTTTTTTTTAACACCTGGTAATCAATTGATTAAAATAGTTGACATAAGCATCTGTAATGGTGGCTTCTATCTCGACTCCTGGCTCAGTACTGATGGAAGTGACCTGCTTAACAATCTCAGAAGGACTGTGCAAGTCAATGAGTCGCTTGTGGATTCTCATCTGGAAACGATCCCATGTCTTAGAACCTTCACCACGAGGAGTTTTTCTTGTAGTGAGTCTCAAAATCTTGGTAGGCATTCGAACTGGTCCTTTCACTTCGAGGTACTTTTCTTTTGCGCCTCTGATCAAGTCAGCACACACCTTTTCCAGGGATTTTACGTTGTGGCCCATTAGAGTGATTGGAATTCGGTGAATTGCCACCTCTGGCTCCACAGGTGTTTTTCCAGTATCCTTAAGAGCCATGACTGCTGCGCGGCTTCCTGACTGACTTGTTCCTTGGTGGGAGTGAACAGCAGTGAGTCAGGAGCTGGAGCGTGTGGATGAGCGATCCACAGCACCTACAACCGCGTCTTCTTCAATGAGCTTTTTTTTTTTTTTTTAAGTAGAGATGAGGTTTCATCATGTTGCCCAGGCTGGTCTTGAACTCCTGGACTCAAGCCATCCTCCCCTCTCAGCCTTCCAAGGTGTTTGCTGGGATTACAGGTGTGAGCCACCAGGCGTGTCTTAGGCCTTATGAAAAATGTAAAGAATCTGAGAACATGGCTTTCTCACTCTTTTCTCCCAAATTAGGGAGGTCCCCAAAATAGTCACATTAGTCTATTCAGGACGTGAGGGAAACTCCATGTGCCAACAATAAAGTCTTATTAAATCTTAAAACCTGTGCTCCTAACTGTCCTCCTGTTGCAGTGAGCTGAGATTGCCCCACTGTACTCCAGCCTGGGCAACACAGTGAGACTCTGTCTCAAAAAAAAAAAAATCTGTCCTCCTTTCTACCAGGTTCTCATTGGATAAACTAAATTTGTAACCATGGGCCGGGCGCGGTGGCTCAAGCCTGTAATCCCAGCACTTTGGGAGGCCAAGATGGGCTGATCACGAGGTCAGGCGATCGAGACCATCCTGGCTAACACGGTGAAACCCCGTCTCTACTAAAAAAATACAAAAAACTAGCTGGGCGTGGTGGCAGGTGCCTGTAGTCCCAGCTACTCGGGAGGCTGAGGCAGGAGAATGGCATAAACCCGGGAGGCGGAGCTCACAGTGAGCTGAGATCCAGCCACTGCACTCCAGCCTAGGCGACAGAGTGAGACTCCGTCTCAAAAAAAAAAAAAGATTCGTAACCATGACTATGATACAATTTATTTATTTATTTATTTGTTTATTTATTTATTTTTTGAGACAGGGTCTCACTGTGTTGCTCAGGCTGGAGTGCAGTGACACAATTTCAGCTCACTGCAGTGCAACCTTGACCTCTCAAGCTCAGGTGATCCTCCCACCTCCGCTTCCCAAGTAGCTGAATCTATAAGCATGCACCACGACGCCTGGCTAATTTTTGTGTTTTTGTAGAGACAGGGTTTCACTGTGTTGCCTGGGCTGCTCTCAAACTCCTAGGTTCAAGCGATCTGTCTGCCTTGGCTTCCAAATTGCTAGGATTACAGGTGTGAGCCACCACACCGGGCCTAAATCTTAAGTATGACAGAACCTTTATTAAAGAGTAGGGCAATTTTTTTTTTTTGAGTTTCGAAAACTTTATCCTGGATAAGAGTCATTTGTCAATGTTGCAAATATTTTCTATGGCTTTTCTTTTTCTTTGTAGTGTTTTTGGCAATGTTAATTTTCATGAAGTCTAATTCATTAATCTTTTTCTCTTATAGTGTTCTTGTTTTAATTTTTAATTTTTGTGGGTACATAGTAGGTGTATATATTTCAGGGTACATGAGATCTCTTGATACAGGCATACAATGTGTAACAATCATGTCAGGGTAAACAGGGTAATACATCACCTCAACTGTTTATCCTTTGTGTTACAAACGATCCAATTATACTCATTTAGTTATTTTTAAATGTACAATTAAATTATTTTTTACTATAATCCCCATTTGGATTGTGTTTTTGGTGTCTTACCTAAGAACTTAAAAAACCCCAGCTTTATTCAGATACCTTTCACACACCATACAATTCTCCCTTTTAAAGTGTACAATTCAGACCGGGTGTGGTGGCTCAAGCCTGTAATCCCAGCACTTTGGGAGGCCGAGACAGGTGGATCATGAGGTCAGGAGATCGAGACCATCCTGGCTAACACGGTGAAACCCCGTCTCTACTAAAAAATACAAAAAACTAGCCGGGTGAGGTGACGGGCGCCTGTAGTCCCAGCTACTCGGGAGGCTGAGGCAGGAGAATGGTGTAAACCTGGGAGGCGGAGCTTGCAGTGAGCTGAGATCTGGCCACTGCGCTCCAGGCTGGGCAACAGAGCCAGACTCCGTCTCAAAAAAAGAAAAAAAAAAAGTGTGCAATTCAATAGATTTTGGTATATTCACAGAATCATGCAACCAGTACCATTAATTTTAGAACATTTTCATCATCCACAAAAGAAATTTTGTACCTGTTGGCAGTCACTCCCTATTCCACCCTCCCCTGCCCCACCTTCAGCCCCTGGCAACCACTAGTCTACTCCGTCTCTATGGATTTGCCCATAGTGGGTATTGTGTATAAATGAAATCATTCAACATGCGGCCTTTTGTGTCTGGCTTCTCTCATTTAGTATAATGTTTTTGAAGTTCATCCATGTTGGATCATGTATCAGTACTTAATTCCCTTCTAGGCCGGGTATGGTGGCTCACGCCTGTAATCCCAGCACTCTGGGAGGCCGAAGCCGGTGGATCACGAGGTCAGGAGATCGCGACCTCCTGGTTAACACAATGAAACCCTGTCTCTACTAAAAATACAAAAAATTAGCCAGGCGTGGTGGCGGGCGCCTGTAGTCCCAGCTACTCGGGAGGGTGAGGCAGGAGAATGGCATGAACCCAGCAGGCGGAGCTTGCAGTGAGCCGAGATTGCGCCACTGCACTCCAGCCTATGTGACAGAGCGAGACTCTGTCTCAAAAAAAAAAAAAAAGAAAAATTCCCTTCTATAGCTGAATAATATTTTGCTATATACATATACCCATATTACCATATTATTTTTACCCATTCATCAGTTAATGAGCATTGGGTTGTTTTAACTTCTTGGCTATCTTGACTGATACAACTATGAACACTCACGTAAAAGTGCCTGTGTGAATGTATACGCAGTTCTCTTGGGTATATACCTAGGAGTGGAATTGGTGGATCATAGGGTGACTCTGTGATTAACTTTAAAAAAAAAAAAGTTTTCAACCACATTTACTAGCTCACATAAATATTTAAAAACAAATCAATCTGTCTTCCCTTTCTGTTTCCTTGGCACAATTTATCACAGTTTTTTTTTTTTTGAGACGGAGTCTCACTCTGGGATTGCAGTGGCGCAATCTCAGCTCACTGCAAGCTCCCCCTTCCAGGTTCACGCTATTCTCCTGCCTCAGCCTTGCGAGTAGCTGGGACTACAGGCGCCCGCCACCTCGCGCGGCTAGTTTTTTTGTAATTTTAGTAGAGACGAGTTTCACCGTGTTAGCCAGGATGGTCTCCATCTTCTGACCTCGTGATCCGCCTGCTTCGGCCTCCCAAAGTGCTGGGATTACAGATGTGAGCCACCGTGCCTGGCCCTTTTTTTTTTTTTTTTTTTTTTTAATCACAGTTCTTAACAAACTTCCGTGAATACCCCAAAAGGGAATATAAATTTGAGAATATGAAAAGAGGTTAATAAATAGCCAAATATATCAACCACTGAAAGGACCACCTATTTTTTTTTTTTTTTAAGATTAAGCCACTGATTTGCAACTTTTATTGAAATAAATGTCACTTATTAAAAACAAGGTTAATTTATAACTTGATCTCAACTTGTTTTTTTAATAGCAGTTAAATTTTTACATAAAAATTTGCAAAACTTCAACTACAGAACAAATAAAACATTCAGACACAAGTTTACACTTTAAAAATTCTATCAACTTCAACAAATAATGAATGAATGACTGTATGTTAATTTATATCAGTCCTGTGGTCAGAATACATTTTCCTTTTAAAACATTTTTCATACATCTCCTGTACGGCATGGATAGCTTCTAGTGGGAATTAGTATATAGTCTCTTCTTGATGAAGACAACACTAGGCAGATGTTGCCTGATGTCTGGATAATGCTGAATGTGACAAAACCAGTGAGACACATTAAGATATTTCTCCTTTTCTTGAACTGTCAGGTCAACTAACTACAAAGCGATGAAGTCCATAGTAGATATCTGCAAAAGTGAAGTTATATCCTGTAAGGTAGACTTTATCTTCAAGATATGAAATAAGATCCTTCAACAGGGCGTGGGCCAGGCGCTGTGGTTCACGCCTGTAATCCCAGCACTTTGGGAGGCTGAGGCGGGCGGATCATGAGGTCAGGAGATCGAGACCATCCTGGCTAACACGGTGAAACCCCGTCTCTAATAACAAACACAAAAAAATTAGCTAGGCGTGGTGGCGGGCACCTGTAGTCCCAGCTACTTGGGAGGCTGAGGCAGGAGAATGGCATGAACCCAGGAGGCGGAGCTTGCAGTGAGCAGAGATCACACCACTGCACTCCAGCCTGGGCAATAGAGCGACACTCCGTCTCAAAAAAAAACCCAAAAAACAAAGAACAAAAAACAAAACAGTGTGTGGATATCGTTTTTACTGGAGTGACCCTGTATTGTAACCATTGCTGAATGATTGCTTTTTCTTCTGCAGTACTCCCCAGGAAATATTCTTTGTTAGCTTGCTTGACTAGATGAGCTGCTATAGTAGTCAATCCCGTTAGACTTGGACCATTGTTTGTTTGAAAAACCAGAATCTGTCACACGCCCTGAGCCCTTTATTTATTATTCCCCTTATTCAGTTCCAGGAACTTCTCCAGTAGTGACAACTTGGTGGCCGCCGCCATCTTCTGGCAGAGAAGAGCCAGCGTTAAATACAGAGACCAGCGTTTAACTTTTTGAGAACCTGTCAAACTGTTTTACCAAGTGGCTGCACCATTTTACATTCCCATCAATTATGTACAAGGGGTCAAATAACTCTAAATCTTCATCAACACTTGTTATTGTCTCTCTCTTTGATGATAGCTATCCTACTGGGTGAGAAGTGGTTTTGGCTTTTATTTCTCTAATGACTAATGATGTTGGTCATCTTTTATTGTCCTTTTTGGCCACTTGTATAATATATTTTTGGGAAAATGTATATTCAAATCCTCTGCCCATTTTTAGATTGGGTTGTCTTTTTATGTTGAGTTGTAAGACTTCTTCACATATTTTGTATAATAGACTCTTATCAGATTATTTGCAAATCTTTTCTCCCATTCTGTGAGTTCTTTTCACTTCCTTGACAATACCTTTGAAGCACAAAATTTAAAACTTTTCTCCAATTTATCAATTATTTTCCTAGGTTCCTTGTGCTTTAGGTACCATATTTAAGACATCATTGCCTAATCCAAGGCTATGAAGATTTACATCTATGTTTTCTTGTAAGTGTATAGCTTTACTCTTTATTTTTTTTTTGAAACGAAGTCTCGCTCTTGTCCCCCAGGCTGGAGTGCAATGGCATGATCTCAATTCACTGCAACCGCTGCCTCCTGGGTTCAAGTGATTCTCCTGCCTCAGCCTCCCGAGTAGCTGGGATTACAGGTGCCTGTCAGCACGCCTGGCTATTTTTTTTTTTTTTTTTGTATTTTTAGTAGAGATGACATTTCACCATGTTGGTCAGGCTGGTCTTGAACTCCTGACCTCAGGTGATCCACTTGCCTTGGCCTCCCAAAGTGCTGAGATTACAGGCGTGAGCCACCGCGCCCGGCAGCTTTACTCTCATATTTGGGTCTTCGATGCACTTTAATTGTTGTATATGGTGTGTAGTGCAAATCAAGATTCATTTTTGCCTTATGAATATCCAAATATTGCAACACTAAGTGTTGAAAAGATGCTTCCCTCCTTTATTGGCTTTTGCAAGTTTGTAAAACAACAACAAGAAAATCACTGGCCTCACTCTGTAACTGAGGGCTGCACATACAGTCTTCCTTCCAAAGAGTACGGTATGGAAAGTGGGGAAATGTAACATCACAGTAGTGAAATCTGACAAACACTATCTCAGGTGATCAAGGCTGACAGCAGCAGCAATAAGTGATGCTGTTGATAAGTACCTTTGATATGATGTGATGAAAATGACACTTTATCTCTATGATCTTCCTTCCCCAAATCCATATCCCCAGGCTAATCATGAAGAAACATCAGACGAATTCCAGTTAAGGGATATTCTACAACTAATGCAGTGGCTTACACCTAGAGTCTCATCTACTTGGGGGGTTGAAGCAGGAGGACTGCTTGAGCACAGGAGTTCAAGGCTACAGTGAGCTGTGTTTGTGCCAATGCACTCTAGCCTAGGCAACACAGCAAGACTCTTAAAAAAAATTGAACAAAGTATGAATTTTAATTAGTCATGTGTTGATATTTCATTAATTTTAACAAATGCATTATACTAATGTAAAACACTAATAATAGGGAAACTGGATGTAGAAACTGGGTATAGGGTATGTGGGAAATTTTGGAACTATCTGAAATTTTTCTGTAAATCTAAACTTAAAAAAATTTTTTTTTTTTTAAATATTGGCTGGGCCCAGTGGCTCACGCCTGTAATCCTAGCACTTTGGGAGGATGAAGCGGGAGGATCACGAGGACAGGAGATTGAGACCAGCCTGGCCAACGTGGTGAAACCCAGTCTCTACTAAAAATACAAAAATTAGCTGGACGTGGTAGCGGGCGCCTGTAATCCCAGCTTCTCAGAGGGCTGACGCAGGAGAATCGCTTGAACCCGGGAGGCGGAGGTTGCAGTGAGCCGAGATCGCGCCACGGCACTCCAGCCTGGGTGACAGAGCGAGACTCCGTCTCAAGAAAAACACACACACAAAAGCTTAAAATATCAATTAGGTATATTTGTATTTATTTAACTGTTTCACGAATCTTTGTTTCTATCCTTTCTCCTATAACCCATTCTTTTGGTTTTTTTTGGAGACAAGGTTTTGCTCTGTTGCCCGGGCTGGAGTGCAGTAGCGCGATCACAGTTCACTGTGGCCTCAAACTCCCGGCTCAAGTGATCCTCCAGACTCCCAAGCAGCTGGGACTACAGGTGCGCACCACGACGCCAGGCTAATTTTTAAAGTTTTTCTTTTGTGCAGACAGAGTCTTGCTATATTGCCCAGGCTGGTTTCAAACTCTTGGGCTCCAGCAATCCTCTAGCCTCGCCTCCCAAAGTGCTGGGATTACAGGCGCGAGTGGTCGCTGGGGTTCTTAACTTGGGTCTTTGAATTGCCTCAAGAAGTGTCTCTGAATCTGGGAATTGCAAGCAACATTTCTGTGAGGACCTTCACACCGTTCATCGACTATTCGAAGAACAGCATGGACCGAAAAAGGCATAGAGCACTGCACGTAGAGAAAATCAGCAACCCCTGTTCCCCGCCATCAACCTAGAGGTGCCTACCTCCACGTGGGGTCAGGAGGCGGAAGCGAAACCAGACAGAAAAAACCTTTAGATCTTTGAGGCAGTTCAGGTCCCCAGTGACATGAGCTAAAGAGAACTTGGACGCCAGGAGGATCCCATCACTGTACGGACTCTAGCAGACAGAATCCAGCTTCGGGGTTCAGATCAATCGCACGGAGGAAAGAGCCCGCAAGTTCTACCCTGTCGCGGTCTTCCCGCAACAGCGCAGGCGCTAGGACTGCTAGGACGCCGCGCGCCTACCGCGATGCCCCGCCCTGGCGCGAGGCAGGACGGGAAAATCAAGATGGACGCGTCCATTTGAACGTCTCGCATGCCTTCCTGCCATTAGCACTGGCGCCCGGTGCTGTTGCCCATTCTTCCTCCGGAATAGGGGAGGGAGAGGGAATGAGAAGCTGCCGCGGTCGAGGAGTCACTGTGACGGACCCCGCCGCTGCCCTAGGGCCTCCTCGGCCCCTGCGCCTCCGGGGAGCAGCCGGGGCTCGCCGCGCCTGACGCGTCCCGAGTTATACAGGTGCGGGCCCTGTACCGCAGCACTTGGTGGTTTGTCGCGCGCCGCGTGACTCTTGCATCCGCCCCGAGGCCTATCCTCCCCTCGTGGCCGTAGGTCTGGGAACCCGGGGGACTGGGAACCCGAGGGAGGGCGCTGAGCTTGCCCCGGGGCTGAGGGGGCTCCTTCCAGCTCATTGGTTGCCAACGTCTTTTATGAGCTGCGCGCAGCATATCCATGTGCAGCCTCAGCTTCTAGATTGGCCCCCAGTCCCTCTGAGCTGATTTTCTGAGGCCCGAGCTCTTAGCCTGTTTTCACTGTCCTCCAGAACGGCTGGCGAAGCTCTTCCTTTTTTGTGGAGACTGGAGACTTAAGCTCCCGTTAGTGTGCATTTGGGACTCTTTTTTTTTTTGGCAGGGTAGTGTTTGTCTGTAGGAATCATTGCTGATACTGTTATTTATAGCATATGAATTTAATAGTATTTTTATGTATAGCTGTTTATGTTGCCCCTAATAAGTAAAAACATGTCTAAAAGTTTGGGGTACTGTAAAAGTATTAAATATGTGGCTTTAATAGGTACAAAATGATAAATAATTCTTCAACCATTCTGTGATTTTCTCTCAGTTATAAGAAAATAACATTATAAAATTGCAGAACTAAAGTTTCATAAAGTCAAAAGTTTGTTGATGTTGGTTGTCCTGTTGAATAAAATATAGGAAGACCAGCTCAATTTTGTTGTTTTCTTTTAAGTTTTTTTTTTTTTTTGAAACAGAGTCTTGTTCTGTCGCCCAGGCTGGAGTGCAGCGGTGTGATCTCGGCTCACTGTAACCTCCGGCTCCCGTGTTCAAGCAATTCTCTGCTTCAGCCTCCCGAGTAGCTGGGATTACAGGTGCCCACCACTACGTCTGGCTAATTTTCGTATTTTTAGTAGAGATGGGGTTTCACCATCTTGGCCAGGCTGATCTTGAACTCCTGACCTCGTGATCCTCCCGCCTCGGCCTCCCAAAGTGCTGGGATTTACAGGCATGAGCCACCGCGCCCGGCCCCTTGTAAGTTTTATAAGGCACTTTTTGGTTGTGTTCCAAGTTCAAGTGTTCCCAGTACTCATTTATTTCTAGCAGAAAGAAAAACAAAACTTATGTTTTGTGACATAATTATATCAAGAATAACTTTTTTTTTTTTTTTGAGACAGAGTCTCGCTCTGTCGCCCAGGCTGGAGTGCAGTGGCTGGATCTTAGCTCACTGGAAGCTCCGCCTCCCGGATTCACACCATTCTCCTGCCTCAGCCTCCCGAGTAGCTGGGACTACAGGCGCCCGCCACCACGCCCGGCTAGTTTTTTGTATTTTTTAGTAGAGACGGGGTTTCACTGTGTTAGCCAGGATGGTCTTGATCTCCTGACCTCGTGATCCGCCCGTCTCGGCCTCCCAAAGTGCTGGGATTACAGGCTTGAGCCACCGCTCCCGGCAACTTTTTTTTTTCGAGAAGGATTTTCGCTCTTGTCCCCCAGGCTGGAGTGCAATGGCGCCATCTCGGTGCACTGCAACCTCTGCCTCCCAGTTTCAAGCGATTCTCTTGCCTCAGCCTCCCAAGTAGCTGGGATTACAGGCGCCCACCACCATGCCTGAGTAATTTTTTTTTTTTTTTGTATTTTTAGTAGAGTCGGGGTTTCACCATGTTGGCCAGGCTTGTCTCGAACTCCTGACCTCAGGTGATCCGCCTGCCTTGGCCTCCCAAAGTGCTGGGATTACAGGCATGAGCCATGGCGCCCAGCCAAGAATAACATTTAATTCACAGTAAAAATAACTTGTGGCTTTGGAGGAGCTGCAAAAGAACTACATAGGCTTTGGGTGGTTTGTGTAACCATATAGGTCTCTTGCCCTATAAGCAGCAAGTCAATACACGGGAACAACGGGGATTGCAGCAGATAAAGTGTTTTACTTGCAGGGCCACTGAACTAGGAGACAGGAAACTTCAAGTCAGCCTCCCCAAAGAGGTTTTTTTTTTTTTTTTTTCTGAGACAGAGTCTTGTTCTGTCACCCAGGCTGGAGTTGGAGTGCAGTGGTGTGATCTTGGCTCACTGCAAGCTCTGCTTCCCGGGTTCACGCCATTCTCCTGCCTCAGCCTCCCCAGTAACTGGGACTACCGGCGCCTGCCACCGCGCCTGGCTAATTTTTTGTATTTTTAGTAGAGACGGGGTTTCACCGTGTTAGCCAGGATGGTCTTGATCTCCTGACCTCGTGATCTGCCCGCCTCGGCCTCCCACAGTGCTGGGATTACAGGCGTGAGCCACTGTGTCTGGCCCCCAGTCTCGAGGTTTTAAAGAGTTTGGAGGGTAGTGGGCTAAGGTATTGATTGGTCAGAGAATGAAGGATGAAGTCATAGGACAGAGAGATAAATCACATTCTCATGCTAATGTGGTTCCTTGATGGGGTCTTAAGACCAGCTTTTATCAGCTCAAAAGTCTTAGGCTCCTAACATTAAAAATACTATCTATAGGAACGTGGTATATATAAGCAGGTACAGGAAAGTGGGTCAAAGGGTAGTCTAATTATGCTTATCTGTACTTTTGTCTAAAGCCTGACTTCTTCCTAACTTTGTGATGAAGGCTTTAACAGTTTATCCACGTTTTTTTTAAGTAATAAACTGTACTGTAATCGATTAATAATTAGATTAATTAGATATAATAATTAATTAAAACCTAGTACTCTTAAATCTACAAGCATAACTGTTCCATGGCTAGAGTTATTCATGCCTCAGTTCTTTGGGTTTTGACCAATAATTAAAATTGATTGTAGTTATATATTTAGGTGGGATTGGGGGTATCACAGCTACTTACGACATTTGATAACTTATGTCTTTTGTAGATTGGTCACCTGAAAGCAGTTCAACCTCTGATGAATTAGAGTAATATGTGATTTTTTATTGTTTTATTCCAACATGACAGTGATCCCTTAGATGTACTTTTCAGATGAGGTTCTGGCATCTAACCAGAAATGACCTTAAATGTTGAGAAGCCATGTAGTTATGGGACTATAGAATACAACTTGTCTAAATACTTCATATATAAAGTATGGAAAAATTAGCATATAGTAGTAGGAAACATGGGATAGGTGGTGCGGGACATAATTACTTGTCGCATCTCAGTGGTTTCCTATAGTGATAACTGTCAGTCTGTGACTAAAATGTGATAATTGCAGTTGTCTGAAAGAATCAGATCTAAAACACCCTTTTATGTTACGACCACTTATGTACTTACCAATCTGATATAATTACTTGACACCCTTGTAAGGATTAGTGACTTACGTGTTTATGGTATTTTTATTCTAGTTTTGAGTCTGGAAGCTGACCAGAATGTGTTTGAATTCATACAGAAATAATGTTGATATTTGGAACCCATGTCGAACTTCTATGAAGAAAGGGCAACGATGATTGCAGCCAGGGATTTGCAGGAATTTGTTCCTTTTGGTCGAGACCACTGCAAGCACCACCCTAATGCTTTGAACCTTCAACTTCGCCAGCTGCAGCCAGCCTCTGAATTATGGTCTTCTGATGGTGCTGCTGGCTTGGTGGGATCCCTTCAGGAGGTTACAATCCACGAGAAACAGAAGGTTCCATTGAGTTTCCCATTGCGTTTTTGAAATGTAGAGTGATATAATCTACTTGTAATTTAAGGCTACTGAGAGGCAACTGAGAAATCAGTGTGATGCCACTTCTAGGGTAGAGTTAAGGTGTGGTAATTTCAATAAATGTTGAAAATAATGACTTTATTATATTGTCATAGCAACTTATTTAGATACTCTCTATAACTTGTGATTTTATAATGTGAGTCAGGTTCAGTAGTATGATTGTCCATTTTAAACCTTTTTCTTTTCTCTTCGTATGTGGGGACCAGATTTCATGTTATTTAATGATTAAATGGTAGAGATTAGAAATAGTCCCTGCTGCAGAAGATTTACATGTTTCTAAAGGAGAGAAGAAATGCTACAAAAGTAGGTAGAGTAATCTTTTTTTTTTTTTTTCTTTTCTGAGACGGAGTTTCACTCTTGTTGCCCAGGCTGGAGTGCGATGGCACAATCTCAGCTCACCGCAACCTCTGCCTCCTGAGTTCAAGCGATTCTCCTGCCTCAGCCTCCCGAGTAGCTGAGATTACAGGCATGCGCCACCATGCCCAGCTGCTTTTGTATTTTTTTAGTAGAGGTGGGATTTCTCCATGTTGGTCAGGCTGGTCTCAAACTCCAGACCTCAGGTGATCCGCCCCCCTCGGCCTCCCAAAGTGCTGGGATTACAGGCGTGAGCCACCGCGCCTGGCCGAGGAATGAGTAGTAAGTAGGGGAATGAGATGTAAGTGTGTGTCAGAAAATGTATCCTTCCTGCCTTATTCCATTTTCATATCCCTTTGGGATACTAAAATCTCAGGAAGGGAAAGCCTATGTAGTTAAAAATGGAAACTTCTTCTTATCCATTCATTTTGGTGGGTGGGACAAAGGAAAAGAAGGTAAATATATATGTGGCTGCAAAGCAGGAAGTCTGCCTTGTTCATAAATTTGCCGAGTGATTCCCATGTGCACCTCACTGTCCTTTATCTGCCCTACCTCATGTACTTAATATGTCCTTTTAGTCTCCCAAACATGTGATTTGACTTTTGGAACGGTAGAGAAGGTGTACTTTTTGTTCATTTTTGTTTTTGGCAGAGTAATGCAGAGCAATAATATAAAACATTCAATATAGAGAATTACT